TGCCTCAACAAAAATTTTTGGGTCTTGTGAGATTCATATATTCCATAGTTCATTCATTTTCAGGGCTGCATAACATTTCATTAAAGAAATATAATATTTTTTTCAATCTCTCTCTCTCTCTCTTTTTTTTTTTTTTTTTTGGTACTAGGGATTGAACCCAGGGTCACTTAACCACCCAGCCACATCCCTAGTCCTTTTTTATGTTTTATTAGAGACAGGGTCTTTCTGGGTTGCTTAGGGCCTCCCCACGTTGTGGAGCCTGGCTTTGAACTCATGATCCTCGTGCCTTAGCCTCTTGAGTGACTAGGATTACAGACATTTGCCACTGTACCCAGCTTCATCTCTTCTTGATGGACTTTTGGGTGGTTTCCTTTTTTTTTTTTTTTTTCTTTTTGCTGTAATATCCACTGCTACGAGAAACATTTTGGACATTTCTTGATATACCTGTCTGCAAGTTTTTAAAGGGTATTTATTTAGGAATGAAATTTTCATGTCATGGAGTAGTATGTGTTTTCAGTTTTACCAGATGATGCTAAATTGTTCTTCAAAGTAGCTGTATCAATTTTTAAAAAATTTATTTTACTTATTCTAATTTCTTATATATGACAGCAGAATTTAATTCAATTCATATTACACAAATAGAGAACAATTTTTCATGTCTCTGGTTGTCCACAAAGTAGAGTCACACCATTGTGTTTTCATGCATGCACTTAGGGTAATAGTGTCCATCTCATTCCACTGTCTTTCCTACCCCCATCCCCCTCCCTTCTCCTTCCTCTCCTTTACCCTATCTAAAGTTCGTCTATTCCTCACATGCTGCCCCCACATCCCTATTATGAATCAGCATCTTTATATCAGAGAAAACATTCAGCATTTGGTTTTTTGGGTTTGGCTTACTTCACTTAGTATTATATTCTCCAACTCCATCCATTTACCTGTAAATACCATGATTTTATTCTCTTTTAATACTGAGTAATATTCCATTGTGTATATATACCACGTTTTCTTTATCCATTAATCTACTGAAGGCTACCTAGGGTGGTTCCACAATTTAGCTATTGTGTATTGTGCTGCTAATTCCTCCAGTAATACATACAATTTCATATTTCTCTGACATTTAGCAGTAGATATTAACATTTGACTAATGTGAAATAATATCTCATTATAGTTTAAGTCTGCGCTTGTCTGACTACTATTGAGGTTTGAATTTTTTTAAGTGTTTTAGTTGCTTTTCTCTTTTCCTGTGTCATATAAACTTAAAATAAGCTTGCCAAGGTCCATGGAAAATTTGTTTTTAGCTTTTTGATTGGACTTATATTGAGTTTACAAATGTGTTTGAAATTCAGTATCTTTGTGATATTGAGCTTTCTGTCCATTATTAAGGTATAATGAAGATATTGATTTCTTCAGTTATCTCCATCTTCAATGAAGTCTTCAATAAAGTAATTTGTTCTTTAAATGTCTAACAAACATTAGATTTATTCTATGTGACTTATAGATGTTATTTTAAGTACTGTCTTTTTGAAATCTACCTCTTATTCCTATTTTTGCTAATTATTGAAATGTAATTGACTTTTATTTATTGATCATGTATCTCAAAAACTTCAATCTGTTATTAATTCTAACATTTTGCTTATTAATATACTTGAGTTTTCTGTGTAGAAAGTGAATAATGATAGTCATTTCTTCCATCCAAGTGCTGATATTCTATCTTTTCTTCTTTCTCATTTTATTGTGCTGGCTCTGTCCTTCAGTATGATATTGAATAAAAGGGATAATCATGCACATCTTTGTCTCAGTCCTGATTTTAAGGAAATGTTTCTAATGTGATGCCATTAAGTACCATATTTGCTGTGGGTTCTCCTTTTTTGTAATTACTCTTTAACTGTTTTTAGGCTGCTGTCTAATAAGATAAATTCCTTGCTTTTAATCCATACATCAGTTTTTTAGGGAACTTACATCTTTATTATATTGGATCTCTCTACTCATGAACAAAGTATGGCTCTCCATTTATCTAGTTCTTTATTTATGTCTTTTCAATAATATATAGGTTTTTCTCCATTGAGGTCTTCCCTATCTTTTGCTGGAATCATTTCTATGTTATGTTTGATGCTATTATATACAATATCACTGTAGTGTTCTTAGCTCTTTTTTCTTTTTGATTTCCTACAGTTTTACTTATTTTCTTAACATCTCAACAGTCTATTTGAGCAAATGTTTTTATGTCTTATCCCACATCGCTACATACATTATAGCCACAGGTTTTTTTTTTTCTCCTAGATTATTTAGCACAAGATTTCTCAGCCTCAGTGCTGTGAGCTTTTTGCCTGGATAATTCCTTGTTGTGGGGGAATGTGTATAGTGGGATGTTTAATAGCATCCCTGGCCTCTGTACACCAGTTCCTAGTAGCACCATCTGGAGATGGTGACCAGAAATGTCTCTAGACATCATCAAATTAACCCTGAGGTCCAAAACTGCCATGGATAAGAACCATTGATCTGGCGCCTATAATATTGCAGAAATTTCCCTTATGTCTTTAAATTTATTTTAAGATAACTTATTTTAAATTCTTTCAGATGTAGTTTCCTAGGATGCGAATTCTGTTTGTTTTGTCTACTGTCATGGTGATTTTTATTTTTGTGCATAGTGGTTTTTAAACATGCATTTACCTTCTGCAAGAAGTTCTTCACCTGGAATCTCTCATGCTCTGGGTTGGGAAGGTGGTCCTATGAGTAGGTTTTGTGTTTGATTCTGAAGACACTAAGGGCTTCCCTAGTCTTAGAGTAATGTTTATGTTCATTTCTTGCCTATAGTTTAAAGAAACCCCAACCAAGTCATGATTACTTGGATCCTAGCCTGACCTCTCCCTTATATGGTTTTCTTTCTCAATCGTGACATCTCTAGCCACAGTTAACTGCCCCCATCATGGTCCCAGCATGCCTATACTGCATCTAGGTGGCCTGGTGCCATGTAGGGATCTGTATTTTTCTTTTGGTATTTTCTCTCAGTGTGCCAGATGCTACCACTGAGTAATTTGGATTTTGCTGCCAAACTATACCCTCGTTAGCACAGAGGGAAGATAGCATGCCAGGGCTCTTGTTGAGTGTGCGTGACTGGCAGAAAGCAGTCGTGGGTATAACTGTTGGAGAGGAACTGAGAGGATAATTTTTTAAAGAATTATCTAATTTTGTTAACTCTTGATGGCATCATTATATCACTGATAATGACGAATTATATAGATGGCTACTTTTAAAAATAGAGACTTAAACATTTCATTTCTGGTAATTCTGTTTGGTTCATTTTCAAATGTGTCTAGTGAACTTGGATAATATTTCTTACTCTTGTGTTTAATGACCTTGTATTTATTTTATTTTATTTTTCCCTCTTATTTTATTTCTTCTAGTGTATACAAATATTTTAGATAGTAGTTTATAATAACATCTACTCACGAGATTGTGGCTTTTAGTGAGTACAGTATAAAAAGAACTTGGTGTTTTTTTTCTTTTAAATATATTTTTAAGTTGTAGATGGACACAGCACCTTTATTTATTTATTTTTATGTGGTGCTGAGGATCGAACCCAGTGCCTCACACATGATAGGTGAGCGTTCCACCGCTGAGCCACAGCCCTAGTCCAAACTTGGTGTTCTTTTCATGGAAACTGGCATATTAGGTTAAAGTACTATTAGTCTGTGAGTGTAGATTTTACTCTTTCTGAAACACTAAAATTAGTATTCAAATTTCAGACAAAAAAATAAAGTCATTTTGAGTACCAATTTTTGACTTTGAGTAGTCATTTTAGTAAATTTTATTTTTCCCTTTACTCACACACAACCATACTTCGATGAAGTTTGGCTGAATGGACACAGAATCGACACAGCCATTCCAAAACTAGAGAAATATACTTGTACGCAGAGAGTCGGGATGTGTTTCCATTTATTTTTTGCTAAGATTGTCTTAACCTGAACACTGTCTCATAGGAATAGGTAAGGAACTTGCCCAGAACAAAAGAGCTGATTTAGCGTAAATTAAAACTATGAAACTTAAAAGTAGAATAGATAGTGATCACCATTTGCAACTTAAAATTTGAAAAAAAAATGTTGAATTTTAATGGAAGAAGTTAAGAACACACCCAAAGAATGAACTTCCCAACTCCCACTCAGACCGCATCCCCAGGATGAGATCTTTCCCTGGGTCTCCTGCACCAATTCCTTGCTTCCACTGATGCCATCAGGGGTGGGCTGATTGCAATTGCAGTCACGTAGCAGTCTACTGAGAGTTTGGGGCATCTGGCATATCCATGGGGCTCAGGGTCTGAACGCCGGATCAAAACCTCACAAGGTCTTTTCTCAGCCCAGTGCCAAGTCCCATGTGCATCCAGATGAAGTTGGGAAAAGGGCTTGGGCTTTAGAGGCTGAGCTACAGGTGTGAGTGCAGGTTTTAAAGAGCAACTGAAGAAAATGGGTGGGCAGGGACAGAAGCCTATTTCCCTCTTGTTCTTGATACCCCACAGAGAGAGTAGGGCGTCTTACAAGACCTGCATTGGCCCAAGTCCACGTGGGTGGGGAATCACTGCATGTAGAAGCTAACCCCTGTGACACCAGTTTCTGTATTCAGTTCCTTAGTCATTGAGCTTTTTCCTCTTCCTCCCACTGAGGGCACTCGTGAACTTAGTCATTAATTCCCTACTTGTGATTTTCCCTTACCCTGCTTTACATTCTGATAAGTCTGACAAAGCATGTGGGATTTTTTGGAGAAAATTTTGTCTTAGGTTTCATTTCCTTTACCATGTAGATCATTTTCTCTGGTTGTCTTGGGTTTTAGATTAGTCTTGGGTTTGGGCTTCGTCTACTGAGGATCTCTCTCTCTCTCTCTGTAGACTTAAAACATATGAATTCAATCTATCAGGTTAGGGAGACCAGCAAGAAAGGGAAAAACTATGAATCTAAACCATAAGTTACTTTGATAAAAGGATTAAAAAAAATCTACTCTTACCACAGAACCTCTGCACTGGGAAGAACTCTGAAAGAAATGAAGAAAGCCCTCAGAAATGAAGTTGGTGACCTCGCGGCTCTCTGTTGAGCACTGTACTACTGTTCCTTAGGATGGCACTGTGCCAGACGTCTGCCGAGGTCATTCTTCAGGTGGAAGAGGCACTTGATGAAGAAGAAAAGGAGATGCTGTGCTTTTTGTGTCTGGATATTACTGCAGATGTAGTTCCACCTACAGTCAGGGACCTTCTGGATATTTTATGTGAGAGAGGGAAGCTGTCTGTGGTGCAGTTGGCCGAGCTGCTCTACAGAGTGAGGCGGTTTGACCTGCTCAAGCGAATTTTGAAGATGGACAGAACAGCCGTGGAGGCTCACCTGCGCAGCCATCCTCACCTTGTTTCGGACTATAGGTAAATCATCAGCTCCTCTGCAGGCTTGACCGGTGGGAGGGCGTGAGGTGGCCTAGGCTCTACTGAATGACAAAAATAAGGACAGTAACAAGAGCAGCCACATCACTTTCTTTTCCCTCTCATCCAAGTGCTACCTGATATCACTCCATTGCTTTGAACTCTTTGAATTCTTAAAATGCGTTTGCTTGAAGGAATTGGGTAGCAGAGCATAATGACAGTGGAAGGGACAGATGGTACATGTTTGCCTGAAGGACAGAATGACAAGAAAGGAAGAAAGATGGGAACCACTGAGAGCTAGTAATTCTTGCCAGCTCCTGGCAGTGTGAGAGCCGCAGTGGTGTTGCTAGCTGATTTTCTGTGATGTCATTTTTTTTGACAATTTCCGGAACTGAGAAAGGAAATAACAAGTCTATAATAATCTTCCTATCTTTGTGGAACTCCATGACACCCTGACTTTCTGTCAGTTGTTGCCCTGCAGAGGAAGTTTAGCGGGGTGAGTTTCCTTCTGGTGGTCCTGCCCTGGGAGACCCTGGGGAACTCTTCAGTTGACCGCCTCCTAAGCCCCCTTCAGGTCAAAAGGGAGAACAGCAGCTGAGGGCCTCTTAAGTTCAGGCGCCTCTTCCTCCTGCTCACAGGGTATGTCTTAAAGGTTCAAAAGGGGCACAGAAGTCATTAGAAAGAATGAGTTTTCTGGTGGGGGAGGAAGAGAACTTGTTCCTAAGCTGCTGTTTCTTCTTTCTCCAGGCCACCAGCCTTTTGTTCAATCGATAATGTTTATTTGGAAATGATATATATTATCAAGAACTGTACTAAAGAGAGCTGAAAGCAGTGTGGGCTTTGGAAAGTGTAACAGAGTTGAGGCTGCAAGGCCTGTTTCAAGTCTCACATCTACAATTATATGCCCTGCAGGGTGGCCAGTCACTAACCTGGGTTGAACCTTTGTTTCCTGGCTGTAAACTGAAGAAGAATAATATCCAACTTCAGAAGGCTATTGTGAGCACCAATTGATCATGTGCTTCTTTGTTTTTATTTATTTATTTAGATACTTGGGATTGAACCCAGGGGTGCTTTGCCACTGAACTAAATACCAAGCCCTTTTTATTTTTTATTTTGAGGCTGGCCTCAAACTTGCGATCCTCCTGTCTCAGCCTCCAAATCACCCTGATTACAGGAATGTGCCTCTGTGGCTTCAGCAAATTATTATTATTTTTAATTATGAAGCATTCTGCAGGAAGCAAAGGATTACTGTTGTTATTATTCTTGATCTTTTTCCATGTGTCCAACCATTATATAATGTCATGCACCTTCTTCACACTGGGAGGCTCTGACTGGGTTTCAGAGACTAGTAGTGTGCTCTCTCCGTTCTGCATCTCTTGGAGTGGAAATAGTGCATCAGGCTCTCTGGAAGAGAGGCTGGAGCTCTGGGTTCTTCATCCATCTGTTGAGCAGGCTTCAATGTGTAGCAGTGTGTGCCTGGTGTTTGTTGAGCTCTGGGGAAAAATGAATGAAGAATCTCCCATTCCTAAGAATCTGGGAGTCTAACTGGGAAAACGACCTTCTAAGCAGTGATGACAATATGCTGGCAGTCATGTTAACCACAAGACATCCTAGGAGCTCTAACTGGAGCAGAGGTGATTGTCAGCAGGACTTTGTAGACCAAGACATCTCAGGTCAGAATCCCCATGATGTAGACACCTTTTGCCTTTTGCATTCAAACATGGGCCAGGATATCCCAGGCATTTCTTTGCTTTAGAATCTTGTGATGATGGCCCCTGAATCAATACCACCTGGAAGCTTGTCAGGGGAAGAAGATGGCCAATTCAAATTCTATTTCTGCCTTACATGGTAGTCATTTGGGTTCTTAATTCATTTCACTGTAACTTGTGGGGAAGCGAGGGGATTCTTCAGGGAAGTTTTTATTCTCTGAGTTGTTTTCAGAATTGTTAGTTGAAAGGGAGGTACCGTGCCCTGTTGAAAATAGGAAAGGATGAGTTTCACCTTAAGATCTCTTTCTTGGGTGATCTAAGCTTTCTGTTTTATGGGGCCGGGGGGGGGGGCACGTTCACATGGGGGCAAGAGTTAGTCTTTCAACCAGTTAGTTAGTCTTTCAACCAGCATGGGGGAGGCATGGGCTCTTGGAGTTTTCATGAGGACTCATTTGAGTTTACTAAAGCAACTTCTCTGGTTTATAGGGTGCTGATGGTGGAGATTGGTGAGAATTTGGATAAAAAAGATGTATCAGCATTGATTTTCCTCATGAGGGATTACACAGGCCGAGGCAAGGTCTCCAAGGACAAGGTGAGTTTTCTCTTTTTGGGTCATGTTCTCCAGAGCCTGTCAGCAGGGGAGACTGTACCTTGCAGTACAGAAGGGAGGGCAGCAGGCAGTCTGTCGCCACCGAGTTAGTGGGAGTCAGACACCTGATGTGACTTTCTCCTGACACCAATGGCAAAAGGATTGGTTTCTAAAATGAGAAGAAATAGAAGGATACTGACTTCTGATGTGGCTTTGGGTGTTTCATCCTTGATGAAAGATTCATCTGTAAACTTCACAGACCTGGCATGTATTATCAGTTTTCCTCCCTGATTTGACAGATTGTCTGGCAGGGTTAGGAAGTCCCATTTGCTTGTGCTGAGTAGAGCCAGGTGGGAAGGGCCAGTCTACTCCCATCTTGCTCCCCTGCTGCCGTCTATTTCTCTTCAGCTAGTTCAGGGTCAGTATGGGGTCATGAGGCTACATGTGGAGGCCATGAGGGGGCAGGTCCTTGTGCCTGATATTATCTGGGAAATGGCTAAAGGAGAGATTTATTTAGGGTTGAAGCCAGATGGGGTGAAGATCTTAGTGATGTCATGATTGCTGGAAGAGTATTTAAATTCTAGCTGACCCCACTTGGCATTGCTGAGTTCAGGACAGGCCAATAAGTCTGCATTTCTAGTACATGACAATAGGTCCTCCACGTGGCCAGATTGCATCTAAGGACTCTGGTTAGTCATTACTTAAGAAATTTCTCATGTTTCTTAATGATCTTAGTTCTATTTCTGAAATCTGAAAAAAAACAGGATGACTGCATTTCTCTGTCAAATGCAAAATGAGAAGAAAAGTAAAAACAGAAGTTCTTTTTTTTTATTTCCCCTAATCAACTTCTCCCTTGTCATTTACATATATTAAATTATGTTTACTATTTTTAAAAATAAAAATAGCACTTTGGTAAACAAATGATGAACACAAAAGGAATAAAATACAAAGCAGTTTCTTTTTCTGACAGTGTCTGTTGCTCAAGGCAAACCAACAGCAAAATAGCTAAACTTAGTTCTGATTTTACCTCTCCACAATACCCTGAGTCAGAATGAGTTGGAATGTCTGATTAAAATAATTTAAGAACTTTAAAGTTGTGTTACGAGGATTTTTTCCTCCTAAAATCTTTCTCCCAGCTTCCCTCTTGTTCTCTCTTTTCAGAGAAGCCCTTAAAGTTTTCAGTATGACTCCAACCTGGCCTTCTGAAAGAGAAGGATCTCAGGAGGGTTTTATTTTTAGGCCTGCATTTTCATAATATACCCCGATGACACAAAATGGCCCATGTGTCTATCATCAACTTAGAGATACATTGGTGACTGAAGGACAAGTTACCACCTCTTTTTTTTTTTAATTTAAAATTCAAGAGGGTAATTTGCTTAGGCAGAGGTATCCAGATTAGAATCACTGAAGGTCACAGAGAGGGCTCATCTTTTCATGTTTTCTTGCTATTATAAATCACTTGAGCTTGGGTTTGCTTTGGGATCTTATCAGTCAGCTCCACTGATGCTTGTTCCTTGTTGGTGGCTCTCTTAGAGTTTCTTGGATCTGGTGGTTGATTTGGAGAAACTGAATTTGATTGCTCCAGATCAATTGGATTTATTAGAAGAATGTCTAAAGAACATCCACAGAATAGACCTGAAGACAAAAATCCAGAAGTACAAGCAGTCTGGTAAGAAGAATTTTGGCCTCTTAGTCATCTAAAGCAAATATTCTGAGTCTAGTAGTTATGATTGGTAAAGACTGATTTGTCAGATGGGTAGATAGAATGGAACCTGAAAGTCCACAGCCAGCTCTAGCCTGTGGCTACAGATCGCATCCATTTCCATCCTCATATCCCGGATCTGTCAGCTCCATTGCCCATATTTACCACCACAGGGTCTCAGCCCTCTGTCAAATGTCACCAAGCAGTTCTTAACATTCTGGCCCTTAAGAAAGAGTCTGTACCCTAATTTTCACAGGCTGGTGAAGCTATGGACATTTAGGGATGCTACCCTACTGCTTGTCTCCAGTATTCAGCCTGATGACCACCATCCAAGTCTGGGTGTGTCACTGAGGTCCCAGAGCTGTCCTGGATATGTTCCAAGTTTCAGCCCTCCTCATGGAAAAGAGCAATTTCTTCCTTGATAAAGGGGGATCAGAGTCACATTGCCTTTCTCCCTCATACTCCCACCCCCATTGTCTTTTAGCATCAGCCTGAATGTGGGCTGCATTAGCAGTTGACTACCACCATGGGGCTTGGCTGAGACCCACTGATCTATATAGTACTCTCCTACCCTCACATTTTCAAATGATGGACAGTCAAGAATAGGAGAAGCAGTTTTAATCCATCCTTACTGATGCTTGGTAGAAGAGTCATCTAAGATGATATTTTGAATTTAGTTATGTGGTTGAAAAGTTTAGGGTAGTTGAAAGATGAGGATTGACCTTGAGCTGAACCATTGTTGAAGATTCATTTGATATGATATATATGATAATAAAATTCATTTGATATTATATATATATATAAAATTTATATATATATATAAAAAATTTATATATATATATATAAAATTTATATATCTTAACTAGAACTCTCTTTTGTATTTATAGCTCAAGGAGCTATGAAAGGAGCAGGAACAAGTTGTGTGAATTCTCTCCACACCTCTCTCCCAAACTTGAGTCTCAAAGATCCTTCATATAGCATAAGGGTGAGTCTGGAGCAAATATATGGACTTCCAGCATGAAACAGTTACAGAGTTTTAATCAAAGTATACGTATTCTCCTAGTATATATTTAATATCTGAACAAATTGTTATAGAAATGTATATATGTTTTAAATTTATGTATAACTTTTTTATGATTACAAAGCTAAAAAGTGTTCATTGAGCTATCTGGAAAATAGAGAGAAACATACCAGGATGAAACTAAATCACCTACCTCCTACTACTCAAAGACAACTACTGTTATTATTTTGAAATATTTTCTTCTCGTCTATTTTTCATGGATGATATAGCCTGTGTGTCTATATGTGTAGTTGAACTTGATTTTCATTATTCATTTGAAAATTTAATTTTTCAAATAAAAATAGATAGGATGTGCCTATGGACAAAAATTTCAAAGTATACTAAAATAAATTTTAAAAGTAAGTTTCCCTCCTCCCACATAATACTGACCCCCAGTTCTTTCCCTAGAAGCAGCTATTGTTAAATCAGTTTCTTCTGTAATCGTACAGAGGCTAGTACATGCATATATATTCCATTTTTTCTTTTGTACAATTGGTATCATATCATGACCGTTGTCCTGATCCAAAAATTCTTGAGCATTGTTCCATATGATCCAGGTGGGACCGCTTCTATTTAATCATTATTTTGAATGATTTTAATTTTCTAGGTGTATCATAATGTGTTTATTCCTTATGGATGTATATCAATATTGCTTATTGTTATTTATATTGTTTTCAATTGTTGTTACTATAACAATGCTGAAAAATAAATATCCCTATGGCTTACCTCTCTGTGCATTTGCTTTTTTACTGAGGTTATTCTAATAATTTTTGCAAAAGTGTTTTGTTATTGAATAATAAAATAGAAGATTTTTTTTTTTTTGGTTCACAAACACAAGTATGACATAGTCACTTATGGTGGTTATTGTGTTAGTAGTAAGTTTTACAGGACTCATCAGAATTGTTTTTGGTTAATCTTTTATCTTGAGAAGAAGAACATTGGTGTAATCTTTTTTGGGGGGGGTGGTCCTGAGGATTGAACCCAGGGCCTCACACATGCAAGGCAAACACTCTACTACTGTGCTACAACCCCAGCCCAGCATTGGTGTAATCTTATCTTTGTCCATATAAAGTTATATGGAATTTGTAATGAGGTCATAGGCCAGAATGCATTTTCATGATTAAATTATAAAGAATTTCATTAAAAAGTATATGATGAAAACATTAACTACTGTAATGTAAATAGTTTCTTGAAGAATATGAGCTGTCAGGATAACCACTGAGCAATAGAATTTCAGAGCTAAAGTGGATGTCCCAGTGCTCATCGAACAAAATAAGGAAACAGTGAGTGATTATTCACCTTTAACTGCTGGCAGGATGGGCCTGCTCCATGATCCTCCTACTACCTTGTGATATAGGTAATAAATTATAGGCATGCCATAGCTTAGATATAGTTTTCATTTTTGTCCTGAATTTCTCTGTTACCAAGTCATGAGACGAAGCACACTTAGAATTCAGACCAGATTTTCTGAGCTTAGTCTTCTATTGTCTATCTAATCATTGTTAGTTAAAATCCTACCATGTTTTTACTGTTGTGTTTCTATTTTTCACTTGCAGGTAAGTATATTCATTGTATATGTAATCTGTTGGGAAGCCATATGCTTTCTGCTCCAATTTCTTCTTAAACTCGCTATATTTAATATGTGGCCCTGATGGTTTGTTCATTTAGTAAGCAGATACTATGACCTATGAACTTGGTAACTTTCTCACAAGATTTAGGAACTGAATACCTAGATGTTAGATTAGGTGACACTGTAAAAGTGCTTCAAAAAATTACAATGACATTAATTTACACAGGATGCCAAGATATTTTTTTTTTACAATATCTTTATTTTATTTTTATATGGTGCTGAATATCGAACCCAGTGCCTCACGCATGCCAGGTGAGCGCACTACCACTTGAGCCACATCCTGAGCCCCCAAGATATTATAGAATAAAAAAGTTGTATGACTTTACATTATAATACTTTTAAAGTATAGCTTTGATTTTGTTTTCTCTCTTTTATAGTATGTAAAAGTGAATGCACATTCAAGTGGGGGACCAAATTCTATCTAATATGATCAGCCTTTGGCTAAGTCATGGATTCTTTCTGAAAAAAACAATTTACATGTCTTTTTAAAATTTGGATACACAGACTTAGTTATAGATACAGCTTAACAGATAGTGTACTTCTCTTTTTTGGCTAGGATACTTTCAGAGAATTATTGTTTGCGAGCTGAGCATATCACATGGTTGACAGTATGTGGTATGTACCTTACACAGGACCTGTCATCTGAAAAGAGAAAGGTTCAATCTTTCATTCTCTGATTAATCCCACTCTAGCCCTTAGAAGTGATTATCAAGAATTCTTTTTTTAAAAATATTTTTTTAATTTTTGATGGACCTTTATTTTATTTATTTGTATGTGGTGCTGAGAATCGAACCCAGTGCCTCACACATGCTAGGCAAGTGCTCTACCACTGAGCCACAACCCCAGTCCAAGAATTCTTGATAATTAAGAATCAGTCCCATAAATTAACAAAATAAAGGTATTGTATCCATCTACAACTTAAAAAATTAAAAATAAAAGAATCAGGCCCACATTTTTCTTATGTGTAGCTAACCAATTATAGAAAATCAATAATTGTGCATTTATGAAGTACTTTTGTGCACTTAACACTGTGCTGAGTGCTTATGTCTTTTAATTGTGACCAAAAAAACTATATTATTATTGTTATCCTCACTTTGCAGACATAGAATCATAGACCCAGTTAAATGACTTGTTCAATGTTACATAGCCATTAAGTGACAGAATCAGGATGTGTAGCCAGGTATGTCTGGCCTAGAACTTGTACTCTAAGCCAAGCTGTACTTTGACCCTATGTTAAAAGAATAGGCTAAATGCCAACCTTATGTTCCAGTAGCTTATTCTAACTTGGAGTTAGTATAACAACTATACTATACTATAACATGTGGTTTTGAAACATTCTAATATGCTAATTTATCATATTTACAGTTTCATTGTATTTTTGTCTTTTGAAAGAGTTGCCTTGGTCGTTAGCAATATATAACATGGGATTTATGGAGTTAACAGTTCTTGCTATTCTTTAGATAACTGTGAAGGGGATATTTTTATTTTTTTCCTGGGAGGATCTTATTGAGATATTTATAGAGATGTAATATAGTGTGCCTCTGAAAAAACTAACAGAGTGACCTTATTCTTTATATTTGAAGCTCCAGAATGGGAGAAGTAAAGGACAAAGACATTGGCCACTCCTTCAAAGTAAGACCAACTTTTCTTTATATTCATTTTTTATAAATGCTTGATAATTCAAGTAAAATATTGCGTTTTTAGAGTTGACTTTTTATCTACTCCTTCTAATTAAGCTCTCAAAAGGAGTTAAATCCTTAAAATGTATTCACTGGCACTTACTTCTTGAATTAGTTCATTTAAATTTGAATACCATCTTACTCCATCGGGTGCATCATCTTGGTTATATTTTTAAGAGATGTGACATCAATCAACCTGAAATGAAGCTATGACCAGACCATATTAATATTAATAATCTAGCTATGATAATAAGCTATGTTAACCAAATACCTAGCAGCAGGAAGAAGAAAGGTTGACAGGTTCTTGCTTTATAGACCATTTAATAAAATCTGGATGCCCTATAAAAGATATTCCCCTTTCCTAAGAGGAAAGAAAAAAAGTAAAGTTAAAAAATTGGTTATTTCAACCCATGCAGTCTTTCTTCTCTTAAAACATCAGCACTTGATCAAATGACATCATGCTAGGCAGAGTGTTCTACCACTGAGCAACATCCACAGTCCTTTTCTAAATTTTATTTTTTGAGACAGAGTTACTAAGCTGCTCAGGCTGGCATTGAATTTGCCATCCCCCTGCCTCAGTCTCCCAGGTAGCTGGAATTACAGACTGTGCCTGAGTCCACAACATAATTTTTAAAATGTTTCTTCTTTTGCTTGTCTAGAGGATTCCCTGAAGTGAGGGCTGAGACTCACTTTTACTCTGATAAAGCAGCCAGTTGTGCTAGAGGACACCAGGAATCAGGGACTGATGGGCAGTGATGGAGGGCTGCAGTTTTATGCAAGTAGCTTGGAATTTGTCCTCTGCTTAGTAGGGGATCATGAACGTTTAAGTAGGGCCGTGGCCTGATGGGAGCCTTGTGTGGCAGGCCTCTTGCCAATGCCTTATGACCCAGCCTACTGCTGTCAGTGTGCACCTGGAAACTTAGAAGCATTTTGGCAAAATTAGCCAGATGGTGTGGTTCATGCCTATCACTCTCTACCTAGTATTCTGCTCTCCAGCAAAGGCTGGTGAAAAGCTAATTAATTCCTGAATCAACACCCTATTTCTTAAAACATTGGTGAGATGGTTCAAATTAGCTTTTTATTTTATGATCTCCTAGTGTCAATATGAACTCAATGTCAATATGAAAACACTGGCTTCCTGTTCTATGATTATCAAACACATGTAAGCATTCCCTTTTCTACACTTTCTAAGCTGTTTGCTTTAGGTTTTGTCCAGTTTAAGAACATATAGGAAAATACAATATTGTGTGATGAGAATACTGAATTCTCCTTATCAGGTTAAAACTTTCTGACCACCTGGTCTTCACCTGGAGATGGGTAAGGGAGAGGTTTCTTTCACTTGCCATTAAGTATTTTTTCTGCATAGCCATAGTATAGCATGGATGCTTTTTATTTTTTAAGCAACCAGTTTCTTCAGTACAAGATTGGAACCTCAGGGCTGAGTATAGGCAGAGAAAGGGAGAGGGTTGAAGAAAATAGGCAAAAAGAACAGTTGTGATATAAAGAAACTCAACCTGCATTGATGTGGACTTTTTTCTAATGCTTTGTAAAAATTATTTCTCTCTCATCCCCCAGGAGAACCAGTAAAGACATCCATTCAGGAATCAGGAGCTTTTTTCCTTCAGGTACAGAATAAATTATCTGATGTGGTATTGTATTGTATGCACAGTGTCTGCAGAGAACACTGACTTCTTTAAAAATAACTACCCATAAAGAATTCTCTGTGACATTGGGACACCCTGCATGTTATTCTCCTGAGACCTCATTTGCCAAGGAAACTTCAGTCTAACAAAGAGAAAAATACTAAAGTGGATTCTGTTAGTGAACTTTGGAATTCAGGGAGACTCCAAAGTGACACCTCTTGTTTCAGCTGAGTGATTACTGAATGCACAGGAAGGCAGGGACAACACACTGAACTTTGATGTGTTCTGGCTTTTTCTTGGGTTGATACCTCTTCTCTTAGGAAGAGGCAACAGTACAACCATTTGTACTGGTTTGGAAAACTATCATTTATTTCTACTTTAGGTTACTGTGGAGACATATGATCCATTTTTTTCTCCCTGTTTCAAATGATCTTTATTCTGTAAAGCTAAGACATGCAAAAAGACTATAATTTTCATTTAACTTAAGTAAAAACTGAAATAACTTGTTTGTCTTAAGCACTACACTAATAGAGAAAAATTTTGGTATTAACAGAAAATGTCAGCTATGATAACTTCAGGCTGTATCTGCTGAGTGATTCAGCCAACAAAGAGATGTTTAAGGAACTTCAAAAGAAGAGATGGAATATAAGTGGGACCTTTTGGAAACAGAACAGTATCTAGAATCTTTAACAATCTCTGTCCTTCTTTCCAGCACATCTCTGAAGAGATATACAAGATGCAGAGCAAGCCCCTTGGAATTTGCTTGATAATTGATTGCATCGGCAATGACACAGGTAGGTGTGGAAGCTGCAGATTGATTGATGCTTCCCAGTGTGATCATGGCACAGATGAGTTGTATTCAATAGGGTTATCAACATTAGCTTCTGTGACAAAACACCCTAGACTGTGACATTTGTTTTTCACTTATATCATAGTGTGGTGTGGATTGGAATGGGGGAGCTTTGCTCAGCGTGGCCACTCAGTGGCTCCATCACCTTCCAAGGCTGTGGAGTCTTCTTCAGGGTCCTCTCCATCTGGCTGGTAATTGAGAAAAGAGAGAATGTGTGGAGGATCTCATAACAGATTTAGAGACTGGATCTGAAAGTGATATGCATCATTTTCCCCCACATTCTCTTGGTTAGAACTCATTTGTGGGGCTCCAGCTAACTGGTGGACATGGATAAATTGGTCTAGCTATGTGTTGGGAGGAAAATGAAATGAATTTGGGGACCCCAAATGAAATGAATTTGGGGACCCCTAAAGCACCAATGAAGGCTGGTGCTTTGGTCTTGCCTTTCCATCCTGGATACTATGGCAGGGAGGAGTCCTGGGATTCAAGGAACATTTATAGTGGAAGGCATTCTGGCTTCCAATATTATCAGATAATCTTCACTTTCCTTGGGGACATGAAATATATGATAAATGTGTGTGTTGTTTAGAGGACTTTGAATATTGTGTGAGCCATGAGTCACTTAGGTATGCATCCTTTACTTGGTTGTTGATGTACCTGGGTGTCACTGGCCTTTGGGTCTGAATAGATTCTTTTGCTTGGCTCTTGGATGTCTGCTGGCCTTTGGTCTGAATAGATTCTTTTGCTTGGCTGTTGGAGGTCTGACTCAAACTGAAACACTGATGATGCATCAAAAGAGAACGACAAGAGCCCAGATTCGTGGAAGAACATTCTGTTTAATTATTTATCTCTTCCTTGTGGGGATGATCATCATAGTTCCACATTTTCCAGCTTCTCAACATTCTCTTAGAATGAGTCAGAACTATCTTTTAGTTTTACTTAAAATGTTACCATGGGCAGTTTTATGAAAAGGAGTCTAAGAGAAGGTCAAATTAGCAGACACAAGACTGAATTTCCCAGGATTTCAGCTATGATCCTGCTTTCTCATGTCCTATTTTTGGTCAGATGTGAGAAATGCTGTCTCCTCCGCTATAGATAAATGTCCTTTCTTTTTTAGCTATTAGTGCCCATATAAGAACGAGGAAATAACTTTCCAGTGAGTCACTTTCTGTTTTAAAGAAGATTGTGTAATTGTCCTTTACTTGTAGTTGTTATCATTCTTGTTTGATTCACCAGCAGAAAACTTCCTAACTGGATGTGATTTTCTTTGTTTTATGAATATCTATTGTATTGAAAGAGTTATAGAGATAAAGCCATGTCCTGTTTTGAATTGAAAAACTCAGTTATTTGTGGCTAAAGTCCAAAGTCTGTGCTTGCTTTCCTTTCTGAGTTGTGGGTCTTTTGTGGACAGAGACTAAATGCATATTTGTGTTTTTCTGCATTGTAGGAGTGTGGTCAGAGCTGGGTCCTAGAATATAATTGGCATAAGCTTAAACTATGGATCTGTAGTGCCCTAGGTTGTGGCCTTGGGCAACTTTTCTAGTATCTGAAGGCTTAGTTTCTCTATTGTAAATTGGATTAATAATAGGACCTATCTCATAGAGTGGTTGGGCAGAGTGAGTTCATACTTATAAAAAGCTTGGAACAGTGAGCGGCATATTGTAACCATGTACTAATGCCAGCTAACACTATTTTCTCATTTTGTTTCATTTTAGTTACAAAATACTAACCAAACATTCACCATGGCTTTATGCTTGGCATATGAAATCTGATTTCAGACAAGTGAGGGATCAGGATACTGAGGACCTGAGCCCTGCACTGAGCTCAAGTGTTAGTGGGGCAAGTTCCCACAGGTGTGGCATCCTGAAATGCAGGCAGTTACCTGAGAGGGGGTGAATGCTTGAGGGAAAACCCAGGTGGAGCACTTCTGTCAGTCATCAGTCTCAATGGGCTTGGCAGAGAAAGAAAATCTAAGTATAAAAGCTAGAAAGTAGGGGAGCAAAGACTGAGAAGGGAGAAAGATGGAAAAGGAAGGTAGAATTGGAGGTAGAGCTTGGGGAATACCTTTGGCCTGAGATGTGAGCAGGTACTGGCTTCGGGTGCATTGAGATGTCCCTTTCCTGCTCCTTGGCTACTGATGAGTCTGTATGTGAACCTCAGGAGTCAAAATGGTAGCTCCAGGCAGCAAGTCCTTCCTGGTCAGTAGACTCCTTTCAAGTTCAATATCTCAATGGTAGAATTCTGGGCTAGATTGGGCTTGGGTCAGTAAAGGGTATTCCAGATGCTCATCACTGCCCTTCCCCTGAGGATCAGCGTTCTTTTGACTCAAGCCCTTCTTGCCCCTCGGAACAAAACAGATAATTTGGCTTGAGGCACAGGTGGCTGATTAACGGATAGGAAACAGGACAACACACTTCTACTCAAATGGGGGTGTGCCCTGAACCCACTTATTCACTTAGCTGAGGCTTAGAGCAGCAGGGGTGTGTTAATTATCATGAAGTGGAAGGACACAATCTCCCCTTCTCATACACTCTCTCTAGGCCTCCAGTTCTTTGTTTCCACACCCTCGCCTTCTGGGGACTTTTCACTGAGAACTCTGGACCTGGAATCCTGCTTTGGTAGAAAGTCGTCCCAATCAGGTGCAGCACACTTTATTTCCACCGTATTGGTAGTTGGTTGTCTTCATCTAGAGCGATTATGTGGGGTTTTTTTCTGATTATTTTTTTTTCTGATTATTTTTCTTATCCAATAAATGTTTATTGAGCACCTACTGTGTACAAAGTACCACCCTTGGCCCAGTGCAAAGCCATTGTGGAGGCAATGAGGTGGAGTCTGCTTTCGAAGCCAGGCTGTGAGTAAAGACAGGGTTATTCTATGTGACCTGTTTTTGAGAAGAATCCTCGTAGGGGTCAGTAACCTCTTCTTGAGGCAGACATTAATGCTTAGGGATTTGGGACTAATTACATCAGTTTGGTAGAATTAAAAAACAAGTCTATCGTACCTTGTGGCCTGCGTCAGTGACCTAGCAAAGGCTGGCCTATGCTGGGCCCTGATTGGCCATTTGAGTACCAGACTCTTGATCTTGTTAGGAATGTGGAAACAAATATATCACATTGCTGATAGGTGGACTTTGGGAGTTGGGCGGAGGCAAGCAATGTTTTCCAGGCTTCTGAGTAAAAGATGGTGTTTGCAGATTTTAAGAAGTTTTTTTTCCCCTTTCTTTTTTTTCTTCTCTGCTATTTCTGGAAAGCTTGATTTTTTTCCCCCTGTGCTTTAAAACTGGCTAACTCTTCAGTTTTCTAGCAGACACTGCAGGTTTCCTCTTCTAACAGGGCAACAGGAGTATAGTGGAGACCCTTTGCTGGTGCTGCTGACTTGAACTTGAACTCTTGGCTTCCTTTTCCTCTTTTTCTTTTAATGGAATAGGTGGAATCCTGACCAGTAGCATTTTCTTGTAGTAACACTTATAGGAAAATCTCTGCGAGGGGATCAGAATAACCACTGTGGCCTCTGCTTGTGAGCTACAAAGACAAGTGGCAAGTGACATGCCAGATAGTAGATGGAGGCTTTGTTCAGATGGAGCAGTCACTGCATGCTTCTGGCCACCTGGAAAGCCAAGGCAGTGGAGCCTCCTTGTTTTTCGCTCCTGGTGTTACTATACCATTATGGAAGGCTTCCTCCTGCAGGCAAGGACCAGGAGTCTGTGATTGGGCTTTTTTTTTTTTTTTTTCCTGGGCATTCTTATCCTCTGGGACTAAGCAGCTATTTACTTGAAAGGCTACCATCATTAATGGAACTTCCCTTTAAAGCAGAGTCACTTGGAGGCTGTCCTACTTAGCAATCCCTTATTTCACAGCATCCATAAATTTAGGTGTTTCTAGAGTTTAGGAAGATGACACGCTACATATACTGTAATTTATAGAACACTTTAGTGCGGCCCAGGATAGCACCCCATAGTCAAATATGTTAATATTTTGGTAGCAAAATGAATGAATATTCACCACTAAATGGGATAGATCTCATGAGTTCAGAAAAGGTTTTGCCACCAAATGATTTTGGGGAAAGAACTTAAGATTTTCTGAGCTTTTCAGATGCTACAATTGTGGATAAAGGACTGTAGATATGTGGAAGAACAAAGTATTTTTAGGTTGTCTGGGGTACTCTGAAAACCTCTCTTGACATGCAGCTGACATATTTATTATTGATATGATTTTCTCCAAATATAAGTTGGTCTGGAAGGAATCACTAGTAATCATCTGTGCTTTATGAAGAAGACATTTAAAAAGTAGTTTATAATTTTGAGTGTATGTAGAAGTGAGCCCTCTGTGGCTTGGCTGAACAAGTGCAAGTTGATATATGCTAGGCAAATCTGCTCCTACCTTCTCAGTCAGTCTTCTATCTTTGCTTTCATTCATCATCAAATCTACTTGGTGATGGAGGGGGTGGTCCTTGGCCCTGTTTTTTCAGGTCCCAGCTTAAATTATACCTTTTCCATGGTGCCCTCTCCAGTGTTTTAGATCACACTGATCTTGCTTCTCTAACCACCTACTTTTCCTAGATTGAACCATGAATCTTGTGACATTTCAGTCATTTTTTATGTACATTTATAGGCTTTATTTTCCCTGAATTAAAAGCTCCTCTAAGGACAAGAATGATTTTGTGTACTTGATCTGTATCCCAGTGTTTCTATAAGGTAAAAAGAGTGGAAACTTAGTAAAAGCTGAGTACTGCAGTCAAGTCAATATGAGAAATGCTCTGTAATTGTTCCCCTTTTAGAGATTCAAAAAGTATATCCACCTGGTAAGGTCTTTGGGAAGTCCTGCATATAACTATTTTAACCTTGTCAATCTTGCATTTTCCACACAATTGGACCTCAGAACACCCTTTCCCACTCAGAAAATCCTGCCCATCATGTATTCTGCTCATGTGCTTTATGTTTATTGAACCCAACTTAGTAAGGATGTTTGATAAATTATTGTAAATTCTCTTATTTATTCTATTAATGGAGCCCTTTTCAGGGTAATTGTGAAGATAAGTTGCCCTCATTTAGATAAAAATGAATTTTAAATTAATGAGGTCATGGCATTTCACTGGATTAAATTCCTCAGGCTTAATTATGATTGCCCAAACCTGTGAGTAGTGCCAATGATGGCCCCTCTACCAGAAACCCTGTACTAACTGCAAAGCCAGAAGAAGAAAACCCATTATTTTAGAAGGTCTTTTCAAAGTTGAAATTTACCAAGCTAGGTCTAGGGTGGGAGTGGGGTGTCCAGGATATGTAGAAAGAGAAGTGGATTTCTGCTTTTTGTTGAAGTTTTTTATTTTTTCCAAACTCAGCACCCAAGTTTTTCTTCCCCTATTTGTTGGTGAAGACATGATAGTGAAGTGGTATATGGGACACAGAATCTATCTGCCCTGAGCCCATTTTAATGAGAATGTAGAGACCTCCTCTGGTCTCAAGAGACAGCTTCCATGAAGAGGCTCACAGGCTCCCTGGCTTGGAGTTTGAAATGGCTTCGTTAATCTTTTGATTTGTCTCTTATATTTGAGTAAATATTCAGTTTGCAAGCATCTTTACAGAAATCTCATTGGCTCCTTACAGATACCTTTCAAAGAACAAGGTTTAGTGTATATCCCAGTTACTTGGGAGTCTAAGGGAGGAGGATCACAAGTTTGAAGCTGCCTGGGTTACTCAGAGATACACTGTCTCAAAAATAAGATTTAAAAGGGCTGTGGGTGTGATTCAGTGGTAGAGTACCTGCCTAGCATGGGTGAGGCCCTGGGTTTGATCCCCACCACCACAGGACATAAAACAAACAAAACCTAAACATGGTTTAGGTATATTAGTATCAATCCCATTTTACAGATGAATAAACAGAAGCTGTAATTTACTCAGTCACACTGTCACAGCCCCCTTCATTCTATAAATTAGGTTGGGCTGTCTGCTCTTGCTGGCGCAGAAGGAAAACAACAAATGCCAGCCTACATCCCTGCCCACCCTACCTCACCATCTAACAGAGGAAAATATACTAACGAGGAACGTTAGCTGTGGTGACTTTGGGCTGTGTCTGTTGGGTGACTCCCTCTTGACAGAGGGATATTGGAAAGCCACTCTGTCTTGTTGAGGCCCATCCAGATTTGGTGTTTTTCTTGGCTTAGTTGTGGCATCTGGGACTAGCATGGCTTTTGGTTTCATCTCTGCCTTTAGCGTTCCCCCCCCCCCCCCCCCCTCATTCTCTTAAGTAAGGTTTTCCTGCCCCAGACCTCAGATTCCCATTCCCTTCTTAGTTCGCCTGCTGGTATAGATGGGTTCTCTTCTAAGATCAGGCTAGGTGGAGGCTCCAGGAAGAGGAGCGGGAGGAGGTGCATGAGCTGGAATTTACAATCTGATCTTGTGGTTCCAAGACTGGTTCCTCTTTTGCCAGCTGCCTACTGGTTGCCACATGACAGGGACTACCAGGGAACCCAGATAAAGGAAAAAGCTAGAAGGCACCAGGACAACATTTCTGTCCCATTCCCACATAGAAACGTGTGAGGGACTGTGGTGAGCTCTCTTTCAAGGACTGTGATAAGGAAGGGCATTTATCAGTGAGGAGAGAGGGTTTTGAAGGAAGGGAACCAGCTGGAAATAACAAGTAAACAAAAGAGCTCTGAATCTGGTGTTTCCCTGTTTGCTTCTGCCCCCTAGAGGAGAGATCACTCCATGAAGAGAAATGTGTGTCATGACAGGAAGTGTTTGGAAAGAAGTGGTAGTGACAGGGCTGCTCTCTTAGACTATATTATCTTGTTGTCCTGTGCTGTGTCCAGCCTAGGTATGGTACTGGGCACTGAACCCTTGGGCACAGCCTAGGGAGATGGCTAGGGTCACTGCAGCCAGGCCTTTCCACCATTCAGCATTCTTACCAGGGCAAGTGTGTTAACAGGCTATCAGAAACCTGAGAATCATGTGCTGATTCGTTAGAGGTTTATTAGCCTTCTGTGTATCTCTTCATTATTATTTTCATACTTAACTGTGACCCTAACAAGCAAAAGAAAAAAGTAACTACAGTCTTAAGTCAGGGTGACTGTCATTCCCTTTTCCTGATAGAAATCAAAGAACTCTTCTCATGAATTATTTATCTAACAATGTATACAAATAACTTCAAAATTTAGTAGCTTAAAACAACAATACTTATTTAATTATATTTATCACAATTCCAGTAGATCAGGAATTTAGGATCAGCTTAGCTGGGCTGTTTGGGCCCATTTTTCTGGTGATTAGTTGTCAGAAAGGGCCCCTGAAAACTTGGTTGGGATTGGAGGATCTGTTGCTAAGGAGATCCATTGCCATGGTGGGGAAGCTGGTACTGATTGTTGGTGTGAGGCCTCAGTTCTTCTGCGTTTGAGTCTCTCCAAGGTGCTAGGTGCCTGAGTGTTCTCAAGAAGCAGCATTGGTTTCCCCACAGGGCGATGCATTCAAAAGAGAGAAAAAGTCAAGTGGAAATTGTATCCTTTTGATGTTCTAGCTTTGTCAGTCCCATGCTATCACTTCTGCCACAAAATTAGAGATGTGTAATGGGTGGGTCAAAAGGACATGGATTTTTGAATGGAGAAGAAAAAAAGTTTCTATTTTCTATTAGAAAATATATAAATTGATTTATGAGGGTATGTTTATTCCTCCACTAAGGGTAGACTGAGCAGATGAGAAAAATGAACTTAGTTGCATCTGTAGGGCCATCCAAACTTCTAGAAGACAAACAAAAAGATTCTAAACAAGAGAATAGGAGGTAATATTTACTGAGCACCAAGAGTTTATTTGTACTGTTTTATCCTCACAACAGTCTTGTAAGGTGGTTGTCATTCCAACTAAAGCCAGAGAATCCCACTTTCTTGAAGTCATATAGCCTAAGGTGGTGGTAAGGTCAGGGCTGTCTGGATTAATGTCTGCTCTTGCTACTACCTTACACTGGCCCTCAGGATGCCTGGGAGAAGACTCTTTGGGGGTATTTTAGAGAATCTTGGCTAAGTCTCAGTTGATCAGGCAGAGTTGGTCACACTGGTCACACTGGGAAGCAGATTGTGATAGGAACTGGGAAGTCCAGAAATGGTCTTGACTTAAACCAAAGGGCTTCTGAATCAGTCCATGGCAGGTTGAAGGAACTCATGATCTGTGCTGCTATTTCTACAGCTATTTGGATCTAGGCTTGGATTTGTACTCCACAAACACTTCCATTCCAGTATGTGTGGGTTATTGTTAAGACTTGTTATTTTAAGAAAGAGCCTTTTTAAAAATCCCCAACTTTGTTTCAGTTGAAAAGAAAAAGATTTTGTTCTTCTTGTTTGATTGGACTGGAGTGGGCTGTCTGTGCCTATGGTCACATATGCTGATGGTGTCAGTGGAGAACAGACCAGCCTTGTCAACCTGGGGCATGAAAGTCACATATTTCATATTTTGGATTTCTTCTTCCTGTCCAGTTTTCAGGCCCCTTAAAATACTGTCACACAGAAACAAAGAAGAAAAGGAGACTAGACTAGATACCCAGTTCCTAGCATTCCAGTTTCTTGGGCTTTTCTGACTCCAGTGTTGTTTTCCATGTTTGTTTATTTTCTCCAGAAGTTCTTCGACACACCTTCACTTCCCTGGGCTATGAAGTCCAAAATTTTTTGCATCTTTGTGTGAAAGACATAAGCCATATCCTTCACCAAGTTGCCAATCTGCCCCGACACCAACACCATGACAGCTTTGTGTGTGTCCTGGTGAGCCGAGGAGGCTCCCAAAGTGTGTTTGGCGTGGATGAGACTCACTCAGAGTTATCCTTGCATCATATCAGGAGGATATTCATGGGGGACAAATGTCCTTCCCTCATAGGGAAACCAAAGCTCTTTTTTATTCAGAACTATGTGGTGTCTGAGGGCCAGAAGGAAGACAGCAGCCTGCTGGAGGTCGATAGTCCAGCGATGACCAATGTGGAATCCAAGGAACAAAAGCCTGGGCCAAGCACGGTTCACCGAGAAGCTGACTTCTTCTGGAGCTTGTGCACTGCTAGTGTGTCCCTGCTGGAGCAGTCCTCTAGCTCACCCTCCTTGTACCTGCAGAGCCTCTCTCAGAAGCTGCAGCGAGAAAGGTGAGCCACCGAGGAGACCAATCCTGACCTCATTTATTGTCCTGCTACCAAATGTTTGATGTCATGTTTGATGCCTTCCTGGAGGAAAGGGATTTTTCTTTCCCCATTAGGCTTGTCTTAGGGGTATAATATAGACCAGTTCAACTTACGAACACTTTATGTTAGCCAGCTTGTAGTTTGGATATTTTTCTTTAAAGCTCAGAAATTTTAAAATTTCTTACTACAAGAACAATACATAAAATCATAAATATAGATGCTGAAAACAAAATGTAACAAGCATTTGTAATCCTCCTAACTAGAACCATCCTCTGTTAACCAAATGTTAGTGTACCGCCTTCCAGGCGTTTTTTTTTTTTGGGGGGGGGGTGGATTCCCACACAATCCTAGATACAACCCATATGGAATCATCATTGACTATTACTTTACAACTTACTTTTAGTTTGCTTAATGGTAGATCACAAACATTTTTGCATGTCAATAGTCACATTGGGACAACATCATTTTTAATTTTTGCAAAGCAGCTACCAATATGGCTATAGCTTATTTTACTCAACTGACCCTTAGTCATCAGATACTGTTTTACTTTTACACAAAGAAAGGGTTAAAAGCATCTTTACAGCTTGACATCTTGCTTATAAGAATTGTTTCCATGGAGTGAATTCCCAGACATGGAACCACTGTGTCAAAGGGCATGCAAGCTTTGGATACCTCTGACCTAATTGTCTTCTAGGACACTTATGCCAGTCTCATATGAGAGTTTCTATGTCCCTGAACTCTCACTGATAACTGCATGCTCTTTTTTTTTTTTTCCATGTTTTGACAGTTTGATGGGTGAAAAAATGGCATCTGACTGTTCATGTCTGCAGATTGTTGTTACATACAGTAATCACCCTTATCTGATGCTTTGCTTCAGTCACCGTCAACTACAGTCTAGAAATATTAGGTAGAAAATTACAGAAATAACTTACTCATAACTTTTAAACAACTTTTATACAGAATATTGTTGTAATTGTTCTATTTTTATGATTGTTGTTGTTAATCTCTTTCTGTGCCTAATATGAAAATTAAGCTTAATCATAGGTATGTAGTTTTGGGAAAAGCATAGTATATGCAATGTAGATATATGGTGCTAGCTGTGGTTTCATGCACCCACTGAAGCTCTTAGAATGTATCTTCTGTGGATAAGGGGCTGCTGTAAACATTTTTGATGTTTATTGTCAAGAATGCTTTCCTAAAGGAAACACTGGCATCCTGGTTTCTAGATAGGCTGAGGGAAGCCACAGTATACCTTAAGAGGCCTTTGTAGTGCCTCTTAATTATAATTGAGAATGATATTTTTGAGCCGCCTGTTGAATGCATTCTGGGTTGTAGCTCTGAAGACCCAGGAACAAATCTCACAGCCTTCTTTCCCCAGCCCCCTCCATGGTGGTGCAGCAGGAAGGGAAGGGCCTTAGCAGGAACAAGTCGGACTTCAAAGGTTGATGCTCTATGGGCCAGTGGTATTATTGACCCTTTACACCCATCCTGCATTTGCATAGTTGACCCAGGTGGGTTATGGTCCAGCCAGTGTGTTCTCAGAATAAAATTCTGCTCTCTACAGAGAGGGAACTGTGGCTGTTGGACCAGTGCCACCAACTGGTTTGGATCATTCTTGAAGCAGCTTGTGGAATGTCTAGAAAGGAACAATTTCAAAGAACTTTCACATCTGTTGGCTTATTTTACCCTAATGACAATATGTCTTCTCTTTGATATTTGCTTGACATTAAAATTTGCCTTTCTCATTTCCTCCAGAAAACGCCCACTTCTGGATCTCCACCTTGACCTCAACCGCAAAGTGTATGATTGGAACAGCAGAGTTTCTGCCAAGGAAAAGTACTGCCTCTTTTTGCAACACACCCTGAGAAAGAAACTCATCCTGTCTCCCACATGAAAACCCCAAACCTTTCTTCACCTGGAGGTCTCCATCTCTAGAGAGAGAGTGGTTTTCAAGCATGCATGCATGTGAATGGTATGTGGAATAAGATCCTATACAATGCTGAAATTATCTTCTATGAGGAGTGCTTGACTGGAAGTGGGGTTTGAACTGTCTGAGAAGAAAGTATCGGCATCTGTTGCTGAAAGAGCTGGCCAGGTCAGCCTTGGGAGGGAAAAGCTTCAAAACAACAGTTGAGCACTGTTGAATTGGGCAAGTACCAATCAAGTGAACCCAAGATACAGAGATCAGCTTTTAGAATGTATCCAATTAACCTGTGTGTATCCATACTCCATCTTAAAAAGTAAGATGCAAATGCAGATTGAGGAAATCAGAACACCACAAACACGGTCTTGCCTTCTAGAAACAACCACAGTTAACCAAAACTTTGTGTATCACCTGGCAAATTTTTTTCCTGCTCCCAAGATTTAAGTGTAAGAGAAAGGTTATCTTAGTCCATTTGGGCAGCTACACCAAATGATCATAGACTTGGTAGCTTAAACAGCACACATTTATTTCTTACAGTTCTAGAGGCTAGCAAATCCAAGGTGCTGTCAGATCCTGTGTCTGGTGAGGGCCTTCTTGGTTTTCAGAGAGCTATCTTCTGTTCTCAAACGGCAGAAAGAGAGGGAGAGGTTGGGGAGGGAGAGAGACAGAGAGAGAAACTTGCAATACACCTTCCTGTCTGATTTTGAAACAATTAATCTATTACGCCTTCCTGCCTGAAAGGAGACTATGCTTTCAAAGGCAAGTTTAAATGTGAAATTTAAAAAAATAATTCTTACCCCGTAAATAGAAATAGCATGTCAATTAAAAATCAACTTTTAAGATTCAGTGCTAGTTGAACTGAAAAATTCCACTAAAACTTTGATCCTTAAATTAAAAAGTGAGAATTAGAGTGTTACATTATTTCAGTAAATACTTCAACTATTACATAAATTGCTAAAGTTCCAAATAAAACTTTAGTAACCAATTAATTTGTGATGTGAACAACAGTCATTGGAAACACATGCCTTTTGGTGGAAAAGTGATTCCAAAGAAAAACAATAGTTGGTACAAACATTTCCATGAAGCAACAGGCTGGAAAGATGCAAATTCAGCTACTGAATTGACCTTATCTATAAAAAATATTTAACCTTTGCTCAGTGTTAAAGTAACTGAGAGACAGCATTAGCCAATCCATTACCAAGGAAGTATTCTTCTGCATGAGGGAGATTAGAGAATATTGACAGACTAAAACTTAATATAGACAACACTGGTCACTAAAGCCAAAAGAACTTGACTTCATCCTGGAGCACAAAACACAATTTGTCTTTGGTGCCACCTACAACATGTTTTGTTATCATGTTGAGACTTCTCATTCAACATTGTATTGGCAGATTTAGATAATGTTTGAACAGGAAAGAGGTAGTATAGTAAGCAGTTATTTTAAGGGTATAATATATTTTAATGTATTTAGAACTGTAAAGATTTGAAAACACCACTTGAAATGTTCAATTATACTGCTGCATTTTATGGACATAAAATGTATGCAAAGGAAACATCTTTAAATATGGGTGATTTGCTGAAAGAGTAGGATCTTGATGTCTTTACTAATTTTAATGACAAGACATACATATGTGTGTTCATGTAATTATATGATAATTAAATAACTTTAACATTAAGAAATAAGTTGCTTAGAGCCTTGCTAAATTGCTGAGGCTGACCAAGAACTTGTGATTTCCTGTCTCAGCTCCCAAGTTGCTGGGATTACAGGCGTGCACTACTACAGCTGGCTATTATATCAAGTAATCTTGCTGTTATTGTTTAGTGAGTGGGGGACTCCTGCAGTTATCTTTATATTTAATCTTTGCTTAGGGGCATCAGGAGGAAATGCTGTGTCTGTGTGGCCCTGTGAACCAGCACCCCATGTTAATTATTATAGAGAGAATGTAAGAGGAATCTTAATACAGCTTTGGTTGCCTTCTGCAGTTCCATCTAGACCAAGTGACAAGCATTTTCCATTTATTCTTTTTATTATCATAAACAATTACAGCACCTTGTTCTTTTTTTGAGGCAGTAATTTACCCCAAAATGCCATGTATAGGGGCTGGGGTTATGGCTCAGTGGTAGAGGGCTTGCCTAACGTGTGAGGCACTGAATTCAATTCTCAGCACTGCATATGAATGAGTAAAATAAAGGTCCATTGACAACTAAAAACTATTTTTAAAAATGCCACGTATAGCATCTTCTTTGCTTCATTCCAATATTGTAAATACTCAAAAGAAACATAGTACTTATTTATATATTTTTTTAGTTTTGTAGATGTTCATATGTTACTAAGATAATATAAATAAAGCTATAAATTTAGCAAATTAATTTTTTTTCTGTACTGGGGATCAAAACAAGGGCCTCATGCATGCTAGGCAAGCACTCTACCACTGAGCTACATCTTCAACCCACTATCAAATTAAATTTCTATATGTAAATATTGATGAGTTTACTTAGACACTTTATTCATTTACCTGAAATCACAGATCTAATACCAAGCATTAGTCAATCCCTTAATCTCAATGAAAAGAGTGATGAGTGTTTTCTTTGTGAGTCTTGCTTACTAACAAGGGGTGTTTTGCATGGAAGGAAGAGGGATTGTGATTACAGACCCAAAATGCATGGGAGGAATGAGGCCTTGCCTTCCCTTCCCTACATCAGAATTGTTTTGAGGATGAAATGAAGCTTGCTTATGAGCATATTTGGTTATGCCATTGAATGTAAGCTATTAGGCAGGTTGTACCACATCTTGAAGAATCCATAGTATTTGAACAGGTTGAGGTGAAGAAGAGGAAGTGTTGCAGGAGAAGACATGAATCAAGTGAGGGAGTGCTTGTGACAGAGCCCTGTGAGACAGTGTGAGTAGTGGTGAGTGGTAAGCTAGGAGATAGCTGTGGTGTATGTGTGGGGAACTTTGAAGACCACTGTATTTGTCTTTTATCCAGTTGTCCTATAAGTTATTTTCCTTATTTTAAAGTGGAATCTTTGATTCCTTCTTTTATGCTTGTATATAAGCATTGGATTTTCAAGTGCTTTTCTTTTTATTTTTCACTGTCTATAATTTTTAATGAAATATTTTCAACATAGTAAGAAACAATTCTGAGTGAAGGCTCATGCTGATAAATTCATAAATGAATAAAGTGTCTGTTTTATTTATTAAACTTATTTATTACCTGTTTAAATAAAATGTTCTAAAATATACATGGAGACTTATATTTCTTTAAGGCAATATAAGAGATAAGAAAGAACAAAATTGGTGGTTTAGAGGAAGTCTGTACTTTCCAGTTACTCCACAGCTTGGGATTTGAGCAATGGGAATACTGCTCAGCTAGATGGGTGACTGAGGGAATTCACCAAAATTCAGTAGAGGATGGTCAGACATAGAGAAACTCAGAAATTCTGGTGTTTCAAACAGGACTAAAAAGAGCTCATCAGTGTCAACAGAGGGTGGCAGCACCTCCAGGTCACTGCAGAGAGGAAGGACAACACAAAGGGAGAGAGAAACACAGCAGACAAATTTGGCACTGGAACACCTGTAGAATAAAAAGGCAGCTGGAACTTAGCTGATCCAGAGGCTGCACAGAAAGCTGATGCCCTGGATCTCTCAACATGGGAGTGAAGAGCTGAGGCAGTGAGACAACTGGTAGAGGTCATGAAGGAACTTGTTGCTGCAGGAACCCAAGAGAGCATTGTGAATACTGTCATACTGTCCCAGCCAGTGTCTACTGAGGCATAGGGTGCACCTAGCAATTGAAACAGGCACAGAGAAGATTGTAATCATGGAGATTTAGGTCAGAGATACAATAGGGAGTACAGCTCTTTCCCTTCAAGTCTGTTGGCTTGGACCACCAGCTGAAGAGGGTCAGGAAACCTGAGATGCAGCTCAGGAAGGCCATATTCACAGGTAGTAGAGTGTCTGAGACCCGCTGTGCCCACTTCATCCAGGGTGGTTGGTTACCCAGACCTACAAATAGAATTCTGGGGAGGCTCCTGAGATCCACATGCCCAGAAGAGATCAACAACTACCTGATCTAGTTTCTCTGGAGTAGATACCATCTGACAAAGTTCCAAAATTCTGATCAGAGCTAGACTTCAGCCAATGGAACTTCCCATTTAGAATTCTGCAGAAGCTCCACCCTGGGAGCACATCTGTCTAGTCTGTCCAGACAAAACTCCAACAGACACTGCTTTCCATTCCATTCTACTTAGTACTGGTGAGTAGGGAAGTCGAGAAGCATTTCAATCTGTTTTGATTTCAGGCCACTCCAGTCAGCAGCTTGGTGAGCAACACAAAAACGAGAAAGGGTTTAATAACCCTCAGCCCTTGCTTTCTCTAAGGGGTGCATAACCCAAGAAGAAATGGAAAGAAGGACAGTCTGGAAGTCTGGTATAGTCAATGAACGTCTATCCTTGTCAGTAGTTTCAACCACCTTTCTTCAATTTTTCTTTAAGATTTTTTCTTGTATTTGCTGACACACACACACACACACACACACACACACACACACACACATATATCTTTTTATCATTTTTTTCTTTTTTCTTATCTTTTTGTTAATATTATTTTTTTTGGTACTGGGGATTGAACCCAGGGGCACTCAACCACTAAGCCACATCCCCAGCCCTTTCTATATTTTATTTAGAGACAAGTTCTTGCTAAGTTGCTTAGGGCCTTGTTAAGTTGCCCAGGCTGGCTCTTGAACTCTCTATCTTCCTGCCTCAACCTCCCCAGCTGCTGGGATTATAGGCATGCACCACCACACCTGGCTTGTTTTGTTTTTTGAAGGTATTTTTAAGTTTTAGTTTTTATCTCTTGTTAATTTCTCCACTTTCTTCTCTCTGTAATAACCAAATTATCTTGTTCTTTCTCTATCTCAGTCTGTATTTTGTTTCTTTTATTTTTTCCTCTCTCCTTCTTTATGTCTTCACATGCTACTTCTCTTCTCTCCTTTCACCTTTTGAATATTCCTTTTTCTTTAAATATTTATTTTTTAATTGTAGTTGGACACAATGCATTTATTTTATTTATTTATATGTGGTGCTGAGGATAGAACCCAGGGCCTCACACGTGCTAGGTGAGTGCTCTACTGCTGAGCCACAACCCCAGTCCACCCCTTTTAAATGTTCTTAACTTCCTTTTGCCTTCCTACTCCATTTTCTTTTCTCTGAATTATCTGTATTTTTATTATATTTAAAAACCATTTAGTTTATATAACTCCTGCCTCATCATTTATGTTGCAGTGGCCGTTGGTGTTGTGGATGTTGTAGTGGACACCTGGTGTTTACTTTAATGACATGTCTAGTTCATGCCTGTAGTTTGTTTTTGCTATTGTTAATTTCCAACCCCACCATTCTTGTTTGTGTGGTTATTTAGAGTTATAGATATCATGGTAGGTTCCTAGTATTTACTTTAATGCTGTATATTGTTTTCTGCCTTTGTTGCTGGTTTTTATATCCCCCTTTTCTGTGAGGTATTGGAAATCTAGTTATACTGCTGAGCTACACCCCAAACCCAGCTAAAAGACAGCACACTTGGTCCCAAACCCACTCAAACTTCAGCAATACTTTAACACACACATACACACACACACAAAATAGAGGAGCAAAAAACTCCCACAGAAGCCCTCTATAGAAACAGCTAGGGAGGGGCCTCAGGTCCCATTTGTGAACATCTGCTCCTATGGCAGATGTGGATATCACACCTATGTAGAGACTCAACCTAGAGCACTCCTAAATTACAGACATACAGACTTGTCAAGTTTAGAAGAGCTACCACAGAGGGCATACCTTATATGTCCTGCTGTATAAAACACAACTGCCTGATCTGCTAGAAGGATCACACTCTTGTGTGTCCTACAGAAAAAGTGGGATCTTAAGCTCCAACACATTACAGTGCTATATCAAAGTGTACTATCATCCCCCCAAATGATCAGGGAAACTATACTAATAACATCCACTTGGAAATATATTCAACAACTTACAACACTCTGATGTCCCAGAACACATTACCAAGAGAAGGTTGTACCTTAAAAAAAATCCCTCCCATCAAAGTACAAGAGAACTCTGTCCCAACAGATGAAAAAATCATAACACAAAATAGAAACATAAGAAATATAAAACAAGGTAACATGACATCTCCCAAGGTTTATAATTCACCAACAACTGACTCAAAAGATATTGAAGTAGATTGAAATACTGGATTAAGAATTTAAAAGAATACCAGGTGTGGTGGTGCATGCCTATAATCCCAACAACTCAAGAGGCTGAGGCAAGAGGATCAAGCCAGTCTCAGCAACTTAGCAAGGCCCTATGCAACTTAGAGAGATCCTGTCTCAAAATAAAACATAAAATGGGCTGGGGATGTGGCTCAGTGGTAAAGCCATCACTATGATAAATTCCTAGTACCCCCCCAAAAAAATTTCAAAAGAATAATTATAAAAAGAGCAGCAAATTCCAAGAGAACACAGAAAAACAATGAATTAAGGCAGTCAGTACAGAATATGAATGACAAATTTAAGAGATAGAGATACAATAGAAATCATGAAGTTGAAAGTTATAATGAATCAAACAAAAATTCAGTTGAAAGTCTCTCCTTTAGAGTAGAACAAGTAGAAAACAGAATCTCAGAGCTGGAAGAGAAAGTGTTCAGCCTTTAATATTTAGATGGTAATAAAGAAAATAAATAACAATGATCAGAATATACAAGAACTCTGGGGCATTAGGAGACCGAATTTAAGGATCACTGGAATTGAAGAGGGATCTGAGATACAGACATAGCATAGATAACATGGCATAGATAACCCTTTCAGGGAAATAATAACAAAACTTTTCAAACCTTGGAAATAAGATGGACATCCAGATATAGGAGGCATGCAGATTAAAACATTATGATTAAAATGCCTAACACAGAGAACAAGGATAGAATTTTAAAAGCTTCAAGAGAAAAACATAGTGTCACATGTAAAAAGGCAAGCCAACTAGAATTACTTTTGATTTCTCAAAATAAGCTCTAAAACTCAGGAGGGCATTGTTCCAAGCTCTTAAGGAAAATAACTGTCAACCAAAATTTCTATATCCAGAAAACTATCCTTTGGAATATAAGGGAAAGAAAAACCTTCCAAAATAAACAGAAATTAAAATAATATATAGGAAAAAAGAATGTATGCCTACAAAACCAGCATGACAGAAAATACTTAAAGAAATGCTATATATGGAAGAAATTAAAAACAAACTCCAGAGCTCATAAATGGATGAATCTCATTAGAAGAATAGCTAAGCAAATGAGAAACAAGACTGAATTATACATTAGAAATAAATCAAAATTGCAAGAATTAATAAACATTTCTCATAATAACACTGTAAATGGTCTCAACTCTTCAAAAAAGACAAAGACTCAGACTGGATTAAAAAACAAGATCCAACTATATGTTGTTTGTAATCATCTCATAGGCAGAGACAGCCACAAGTTGGAAATGATAGGAAGGAAAATGACATTACATGTAAGTGGAGCCTCAAAACAGGCAGAAGAAGCTATTCTCATATCTGACAAAGCAGATTTCAAGCCAGAATTATTCAGAAGAGACATTCACTATATACTGTTAAAGAGAACAATCCAACATGAAGACACATTGATACTATTTATGCCCCAAACATCAGTATGCCCAATGACATAAAAGAAACACTACTCAACATAAAGACTCAGACAGATCCCAATGCAATAATCCTACCTCTCACCAATTGATAGGTTATCCATACATAAAAGCAGTAAAAACTCTTCATACCTAAAGTATATTATACATTAAATGGACCTAACAGACAAATACACTTTCTTCTCAGCCCCTCATGGAAGCCTCTTCAAAATACCATGCTTTAGAACACAAAGTAAGTCTTAGCAAATATTTTAAAAACTGCTAAAGTTTCTTGCATGCACCTTACTAAATCATAGTGAAAAGAAACTAGAAATCAATAGCAATAAAAACAACAGAATTTATGTGAAAATATGGAGTGATTAAATAACACATTTTTGAACAATGAATGGGTCATCTAAGGATCAGGGAAGAAATTTAAAAGTCTAGAAACAAATGAGAACTTAGTTAAAAATGTATCAGAATGTCTAGAACACTAGAAGGCTAGACAAGAGGAAAGTTTATAGTTATGAGTGCCTACATTTCAAAAAACAAGAAAGATTCCAGACAAACTAATGATGCATCTCAAGATCTTCAAAAAACAAGTCAATTCCAAAACCAGGACAAGAAGATCAAAGACAAAAATCAACGAGATAGAGAGTAGTAAAGCAATACAAAATATCAACATAATGAATAATTGTTTATTTGAGGTGATAAACAGATTTGCTAAGCCCTTAGCCAAACTAACCAAAATAAAGAAAAAGAGCCCCCAAATTATAAAAATTTGAGTTAAAAAAGGAGCTATGGCCACAGACCTCACTGGAATCCAGAGGTTCATTAGGGACTACTTTGAAAACTTGTGTTCCAATAAATTAGATAGAAATAGATAAATTTCTAGACATATACAACCTACAAAAATTGAGCCAAGAGGCTATACAAAACTTAAACTAACCAATAATAAACAATGATATTGAAGCAATGATAAAAAGCCTTCCAACAAAGCAAGCCCCAAGATCAGATGAATTCTTATATGAATTCATATTTAGAGAAGGACTAATGCCAATAAGTTCCTTAAATTATTCCATGAAATATAAAAGGATGAAATACTTTCAAATTCATTCTATGATGCCAGGATCATCCTGATACCTAAACATATAAAAGAAGGAGAACTACAGATCAACATCCTTGATGCACATAGATGCCAAAATCCTTAATAAATATTGTCAAATCCTATTTAATATCACATTAAAATAATGTTCATCATTATCAAATTGGTTTCATTCCAGGGATGCAAGGATGGTTCAACATTCTTGCAACAAGTGAAATCAATAAATGTAATTCACCACATAAATATAATTAAAGATGAAAACCATAGTCATCTTAATAGATGCTGAAAAAGCTTTTGTCAAAATTCAGCACCTATCATAATATAAACAGTAAAGTAACTAAGGATAGAAAGAACTTACTTAAATATCATGGAGGTGGGGCTGGCATTGTGGCTCAGCAGTAGAGCACTTGCCTAGCACGTGCAAGGCCCTGGGTTCGATCCTCAGCACCACATAAAAATAAAGATATTGTGTTCAACTACAACTAAAAAAATAATAATAAATATTTAAAAAATATCATGGAGGTGATACATGACAAACCCAAAGCCAACATCATAGTAAATGGGGGAGGGACAACGGAAAATATTTCCTCTAAAATGAGGAACAAGACAAGGAAGTTCACTCTCACCACACTTATTTAATAGTACTTTGAAATTTAGGTAGAGCAATTACAGGAGAGAAGGAAATAAAAGGAATACAAACAGGAAAGAAAAAATAAAATTATCACTGTTGGAAGATGATATGATCCTATACTTAGGATATTCATAAAGCTCAACAAGAAGATTTCTATAGTTGATAAAAAATAAACATAGTGGAATATAAGATCAACATATAAAAATCAACAGCTTTCCTGTATGCCAATAATAAAGCTGCTAAGAAAGAAGACAGGAAAACAGTTCCATTCACAACAGCCACAAATAAGCAAATGAGTTGGTTGTGGTGGCGCACATCTGTAATCCCAGCGGCTCGGAAAGCTGAGTCAGGAGGATTGTGAGTTCAAAGCCAGCTTTAGCAACAGCGATGCACTTAGCAACTCAGTGAGACCCTGTCTCTAAATAAAATACAAAATAGGACTGGGGATGTGGCTCAGTGGTTGAGTGTTTTTGAGTTCAATCCCCAGTACCAAAAAACAAACAAATGAACAAACAAACAAAAACCTAGGGATAAATCTAACCAAGGAGGAAAAAGACCTCTACAATGAAAATTATAGAACACAGAATAAAGAAATTAAGAAGACTTTAGAACATAGAAAGACCTCCCTGTTCTTTGATATGCAGAATGAATATTGTTAAAATGGCCATAATACTGAAAGCAATCTACAGATTCATTGCAATCCCCATCAAAATACCAATGACATTTTTTAAAGAACTAGAAATAATAGTCTAAAATTCATTAGGAAGAATAAAAGATGCAAAATAGTAAAAACAATTAGAGCAATTCAGGAAGCATCACAAAACTTAATTTCAAATTATAGTACAGAGCTATAGTAACAAAAATTTCATGGTATTGGCATAAAAACAGACATATACACCAATGGAATAGAATAGGAGAAATGGAAACAAACCCACACAGATATAGTCATCTGATTCTTGATGCACCAAAACATATATTGGGGCCTTTTTAACAGCTAATGCTGGGAATCTAGATATCCATGTACAGAGGAATGAGAGTAATTCCCTATCTCTCACTCTGCACAAAAGTCAACTCAAAATGGATGAATGACATAGGATTTAGACTAGAAACTTTGCAACTCCTAGAAGAAAACATAAGGTCACAACCCTCCCAACAAGTAGGCACAAGCGATGACTTCCTCAATAGGACTCCTAAAGCTCAGGAAATAATACTTAGAATTAATAAATGGGACAGCATCAAATTAAAACACTTCTTTACAGAAAGGGAAACAATTGATAGGGTGAAGAGAGAGTCTCCAAAATGGGAGAAAATCTTTGCCAGCTGGTCTTCTGACAGAGGATTAATATCCATAATATATAAAGAACTCCAAAACAAAAACAAAAACAAAACAACAAAATAACTCAATCAATAAATGGGCAAATTAGCTAAATAGATACTTCTCAAAAGAAGAAATAAAAATAGCCAACAAATTAATGAAAAAATGTTCAAGAGCTTTAGTAGTCAAGGAAATGCAAATCAAAACTATACTGAGATTTCATCTCAGTTGGAATGGTCATTATCAAGAATACAAATATTAGGGCTGGGGTTGTGGCTCAGTGGTAAGAGTGCTCATCTAGCGTGCACAAGGCACCGGTTCGATCCTCAGCACCACATAAATGTAAAATAAAGATATTGTATCCACCTAAAGCTTAAGAATAAATATTTTTAAAAAGAATACAAATACTAATAAATGTTGGAGAAGATGTGGGATTGTACTCAACCACTATGAAAATCAGTATGGAGGTTCTTCAACAGAGTAGGAATAGAACCCCTACATGACCAACTATACTACTCTTTGGTATTTATTCTAAAGAATTAAAGTCATATTAAAATGACATATGCATATCCATATATATAGCAGCACAATTCATGATAGCCAAGCTATCAGCCTAGGCTTTGGTTCACAGATGGACAGACAAAGAAAGTGTAGTGTGTGTATATATATATATATATATATATATATATATATATATATATATATATATTGAAGTTTTATCCAGCCATAAAACAAAATTGTCATTTATAGGAAAATGTATGGAACTTGAGAACATTATGTTAAGCAAAATAAGCCAAACTCAGAAACTGTCAAGAGTCAGTCATATGTTTTCTCTCATATGTGGAAGACAGAGAAAAAAGGGCAAAAAATTTAAAAGGAGAGGGTGGGGCATCTCATGAAATTAGAAGTGAGACTAGCAGAGTAGAAGAAGGGGACCAGGGTATGGAGGAGGGAAGGAAAAGTGAAGGTACAAGGGAATGAGATTGATCAAATTATGTGCATGTATGAATGTGTTACTATTATGTATAATTCTGCTGCACCAATTAAAAATTAATTTAAATAAAAATATGTATAAAAGAGAAAAGTGCACTAAAATATTTCAAATTTTTGATAGCCCCAAACTGATAATCAGCCAACTGTTCAGTAATAGGATGGAATTTTATGTAGGTAGTAAAATTAGGTAAAAATAGGAAGAGCTTTTGTTAATTGAGTTGTTATTAGCTCATTTGAAATAAATTATTTTATTTGATCCTCATAACAGCTCTATGAGGTAGGTGTTATTATCATATTATTTCTTCTCACTCATAGATGAGGAAAATGAGGCAAAGTTGTGTTAAGTCAGTTACCTGTGGTCCCCCCAAGCTGGGATATGAACTCAAGCTGTGAAGAGTCACTTCAGGGCCCATATCCTTAACCAGTTCTTTGTTTTTACAAAGAACGTTATCACACGAAAAATTTTTATTTAAAATTGTTCATATATTAATGTTACCTGAAAAACACAGGGTAGAAAATATGGTTTTATTATATTTATAGTATCTATGTTTAAAGTAAAAGCAAAGTGAAGAAATACTTCTCATTGGAAAACAAAAGGCCATAAATATTCCTAATGCGGTATTTATTAGATATGGAAGATGACAAACTCCAAAAATAGTGAGAACTGGGAAAAGGGGAGTGAGAAAGCCATACATTGAGAGCATTGAATCTTTCCCAATACATTCTTTGCTGGTGATAAAACAAACCCTGGGGAGGAGGTGTCCATCAACCTAGAAAGGCTGTCTCCAGGAAGAGGCCAAAGCATTGATCCTTTCCTAAGTGAATCCTTTCCAGATACTACAGTGACCCCAAACCTTTCATTGGGCCCAGTAAGATAAATCCCAGAGACTGACTGCTGACCCCAGAACCCCTCCCATTTTGCCCAGTAAGACAGACCCAAAATTCCTGAGTGCCCAAGCTGACATGCTCATTATTTAAGGCACCTCTCAGTATAATCTATATAAGCCCAGTGTCCTCCTTTGTTCAGAGGCTCATTTTCCACCAGAAGAGTGGGTCCATTCCCATGGACCCACTGAATAAAAGGCTGAAATGATCTGTGAAGTTTATATCTGGCTGGGTCATTTTGTGGTAACAGTGTAGGGATGACAGAATTATGACTGTTATATATATTATAATTATATATTTTTTCTCTTTTCCAAATTATCGTCTAATATTGGTTTATATATTAAAGCTAAGATGTTTCTTCCAACTTTTTTCTCATTGGTTCTTTTTTTTGGTGGGGGGGCAGGGATTGAATTCAGGGGCACTCGACCACTGAGCCACATCTACCACCCTATTCTGTATTTTATTTATAGACAGGGTCTCACTGAGTTGCTTAGTACTGTGCTGTTGCTGAGGCTGGTTTTGAACTTGTGATCCTCCTGCCTCAGCCGCCAGAGCCGCTGGGATTATAGGCATGCATCACTAGGCCTGGCAGCCCATTGTTTTTCATTGTTAATGAAATTTTCCTCTTCTTTTTAGTTTGGTCTTCACACCTGTCTCCTTTCTACCCCCTGTTTCAGTGTCAGGGAAACTTGCAACCCACAGACTCTTCTCTCAGGAGCTGGTTGTGAGGACTGATTCCCCAACCCTGGTTCCATTCCGGCTCCCCACTCTTTCCTCCTCCGGTAAGTCATCTTTCTGTTACTGTACAAATGCCGAGATAATCAGCTTCAAAACACAAAAGGTCTATTTTGGCTTATGGTTTCAGACATTTCAGTCCACAGTCACTTAGCCCTGTTGTTTAAGGCTGTGGTGAGTGGTACAAGGTAGAGGAAGCACAAGGCAGAGGAAGCTGTTCAAGCTGACAGTTTGGAAGCAGAGAAAAGGAGAGGAGGGACCTGGTTCCAATATCCTCTTCTAAGGCACTCCCTCCCCAGTGAACTAACTCCTCCCACTAGGCCTCGTCTCCCAAAGGTTTCCACCACCTCCAGTAGTGCCACCTGCTGGGACCAAGCCTTCAACACACTGGCCTTTGAGGGTCATTTAAGTTCCAAACTATTGCACTTCTCTTCCATGAATAGATTGTGGTAAGTGGTATTGAACACCTTCTCCTGTCTGCAGCAGGAATCTGGGAATCTCTTCACCCATATTCTAGGAGTAAATTTTCAGGATTAAGCCTGTTTCTTATGCCACCAGGAAGTCAGAATTTGAGGTCAATCTTGTCAAATTGGCTGCGATTTATAATTGGTAAAGTAGCCTTAAAGAATATGGTTGTCCAAACATCAACTAAGTCTGGCCAATGAGAGGTAAGCAGAAGTAACTATGGCAGCTGCAAAAAAAAAAAAAAAAACTTTCCTTGAAAGATATCTATGTTTTGCCCTTGCCCCTTATTTGTCTCTTCTTCCATCCTGTTGATTAGATAGTGGATTTGATGGCTGGATCTCTAACTTCCGTGTTGAACTATGGAGGGCCATATTACAGGAATAGCTGCATGGTGAAGAATAGCTGAACACTGAATGAGGATGTTAAGGAGCAAACGCACCATACCAGCCTAAACCACCTACCTCTGGACTTTTATGTGAATGAAAAAAATCAGAATTTATATTTCTCTCAAACTGATTAGCCCAACTGATGTTTTGTTCTTTGATTAAAATATCTGGAATGTTTGTTCCTATTATAAGCTTGAAAGAAATTTGTATAGATGATTATTTTTATTTTCTAATTATTATTTAAAATGTATACACTTAAATCTGAGCTGGCCTAAATGTTTAATATGGATGATCTCGTTTTTCTTGTTTCATCTTTTGTGCTTTTTTTGAGGAGGATGGAGATGCTTAATTAAGATGGTACAGTTTGAACAGAATCGTCCTGAGAGGTGTGACTCACATGGAAAAGTCATTCTGAGTCACTCAAATTACAGACACAGCTTTTGTATTGAGTTCATGGTGAATAAGAATTCACAGTAAGAGTTTGAAAGCTACATATATAAAGCCAAATGTGAAGGAGAGAGATTCATTTTGAAAGGTTAAAGATAATCAAGATCATGACTCAAAAAGAGCCACGTCTTAAAAATCTACAATTCCTTGTTTTCCTTGCTGGGTCCTCTCTTGCAATGTAATAACCCCAAAGGTGGAAATGTAGAACTTTAATCAAGGCCACTGAATGGAATGACTGATCTTCCCAGGGAGCCACAAGAACCTCCCTATTCCGAGAATCACTTTCTACCCCCAACCTCTTTTTTTATTAACAGAGGATTGAACTCAGGGGTGCTGTACCACAAGCTACATCCAAAGCTCTTTTTACTTTTTATTTTGAGTCAGAGTTTTGGTAAGATGCCCAGACTTGCAATCCTCCTATCTTAACTGCCTGAATCACTGGAATTACAGGTGTGCACCACTATGCCCAGCTTCTTTTCTTCCTTTTCTTGTGTTACCCCAAAGCTGCAGGGCTCCAGAGCCAAGGTTTTCTACATTGGCTTCATTACATATTTAATAAGCAAACACAAGAAAATCAGTTCTCTTCAACAAATCCCTATGCAATGTCAGCTGATATCTACTAAGTACCACAAATAAACTTAACTCCCTAGGCGATAACCAGGAGGACCACCTTAATGGCAGATTTGAATCAAGAATTCAAACACGCATGTCTTGGGGCTGGGGATGTGGCTCAAGCGGTACCGTGCTCACCTGGCATGCTTGTGGCCCGGGTTCGATCCTGAGCACCACATACAAAACAAAGAAGTTGTGTCCGCCGATAAACTAAAAAATAAATATTAAAATTCTCTCTCTCTCTCTCTCTCAAAAAAAAAAAAAAAAAATTCAAACACACGTGTCTTAAGCAGCACAGTACCAGAGCCAAAAGGTAGAAACAATCCAATGTCCACCAACAGATGGGCAAACAAAATATACCCACGTTTTATATGTTTACTTATATAAATGAAATGTATCCATACAATAAAATATTATTCATCTGTAAAAAGGAAGAAAGTACATGGATGAGTCTCAAAAACATGCTAAGTGAAACAAGTCAGACATGAAAGATTACATATTTTGTGATGCTGTTTATAGGAAATATTCAGAATAGCTAAAACTGTGTTACCAGAAGGTATATCATATGTTGTTAGGGACTTTCCCAGAAGGAATGGGGAGAGAATGCTTACTGGGTATGCAGCTTCCTTTGGGGTGATAAAAACGTCTTATAACTAGATAGAAGTGATGGTTGCACAACACTACAAATTTACTAAAGTCACAGATCTGTGTACTTTAAAACAGTTAATTCTATCTCATGTGAATTTCACCTCAATAAGAAAAAGAGAGATTAGAATTGATTGATTGATTCACACATGCATTATTCTAAAAACATTTCCCCCCTTTCCCTGTCTCTCTCTCTCTCTGTCTTTTTCTTTTTCTGCACTGAGGATTGAACTTAGGGGATTCTACCACTTCTTCCCCAGCTCTTTTATTTTTTATTTTTATTTTGAGACAGGGTCTCACTAAGTTGCCCAGGTGGGCCTGGAACTTGCAATCCTCCTCCTTTATCAGATTTGTGTCTTACAAATACTTTCTCCCAGGCCGTGTTAGTCCTTTCATCTTTTCTTTCTCTTAATAATGCCTTTCACGGAGCTGAAGATTTTAATTTTAGTGAAGTCCAACTTATTAGTTATTTCTTTTGTGAATTGTGCTTTTGGCATTTTATCTAAGAAACCATTGTCAAATGCAAGGTCATCTAGGTTTTCTCCTAGAAGTTGTAGTCTTGTATTTCACACTTAGGTCTACGATCAATTTTGAGTCAATTTTTTTTGTGAAACATGTAAGACCCGTGTCTGGATTCACTTTTTACACTTGTCCTAGCACCATTTGTTGAAAAGACCATCTTCTCTACTGAATAACCTTTGTTTCTTTCTCGAAGGTCATTTGGTTGTATTTGTATGGATCTGTTTCTGTTTCTCTGTCAGTCAGTTACCCCACCTTCTGGATCACTGAAGCTTTACCTTACATCTTGACAGTATACAATGTTGGGGAAATGTGGAGAATTTTGACTGAATTGTTTGTTTCATTTTAAACAATATGTTATAATACTTAAAAAAATAAAATAAAAACTAAAAAAAGTCTAGTGGTTTTATTAAACATGATGAATGTATTTATTTTAAGCACAAGTGGCATAATATTATATTTAATACTTTCTCTCTTTTTTTCCTCTTGTGATATGGGGGACCAAACCCAGAGTCTCAGGCATGCTAAACATGTGCTCTACCACTGAGCTACACCTTCAGCCTCTTCTCTTTCTTTTCATTCATGGGGTCATGTCGATACGTCTTTTACAATTTTTCCATATTTAAACAATGGTACAAAAACCATCTTTTCTTTCTTATTTGGTAAGGACTTCCTGCCTCATATCTAGGGTTCCCATCCCCTTTTTAGTCCTTCTTCCAAGATAGGGTATGATTTCAACTATTTTATATCTTTAGTCTCTTCCTCTCTCTTCAATCCTTTAATCTAAAAGCAAACTCTGCCTCCCTTGTTGAATAAATTCCCTCTCTTTTGGGCCCTGTCCTAGGGAAACATTAAGACTAGTTTATACTATCTCCCTTCCTCTTTGCCCATTTACTTCAACTTCCCTGCCATCTGCATTTCACCTTAACCATTCTAACAAGTCTTCAGCGTTCAAGGGTGACATTCATCTTGGTTGCCTCCTCCCTGTTTCTCCAAGGATCCACTAAAGAAGTTCTATCTAGGACTTCTTGCTGTCCTTCACTTCCTGATCTTTAAATGTGGATATTCCTGAGGATCACTCTTTTTTTCCTCTATTTATATTTTGTCTTTTGACAACTTTGTGGCTTTAAGTAGTATTTCAATACAAGTGACTCTAAGATGGATTTTTATACCCCACATTCCTTTCTTCAAGTCTTTTCAATTTCTGGAAGATTTTCCCACTTGATTTTTCCCTCTGGTACCTCAAACTTAATATACACCCAACATTTAAAAAGCCTTATTCCAAATCTCCTGTCCATGTCTCCAATTTCGGCTAACAGCACTACCAGAACATCATTTTCACCCTAGTCCCCCTTCTTCTATCTTCCTGTAGCCAACTAGTTTCTAATTGGGTGAGTTCTGTATCTACTATGGTTTTTGCTCCTTGTAATGAGGACTTGTTTAAATTAAATATACCAAACTATTTTTCCCCTATTTTATTTCCTGGTAACCTGTATTTCTCCATCTCAATTTCCTCAAGCCAAGAATGGAAACTGAGGTGCTCCAACCCTTGGCTCGAGCAGATGCCAGTGAAACCAAAATGGAAACATCTCTGGGCAGCACAGCCTGGCTAAGTCTACATATGTACATCTCTCGCTTTTGTTCCTATAAATTGTAATGTTTGTGTTTGACACACAGGCATATTAACTGCTTTCCCAGTTTGGGTCAAACTGCAATTAAATTCCTTTTTCCTGTTTATTATCATTTCTCTTATTTCTGACATTGGTGGGCAATCGAATTCAGTCTGCCTGAACCCAGCAGGGTCTCTGGCTTGGGGCACTGGTAACTCTGTGGGTCATCCAATTTGTCTGAGACAACAATGTTTGGAGGAAAATCTTGAAGAAGCTGAAAATGAAGAAACAATTTCGACAGATGAAGGTTTTAGATAGTTGACTGAGCTGCAATTCTATTATCTCTGCACTGGAGAATCTTGAATCTTGACCAAGCTGAGTTTAAGGAGATCCTTCAGGTTGCAAAAAAGATGGTGGTTGAGTGGCAGGTACAAACCCAAGGTGAAGGCTATGGTCCTAGTTGAGTGGAGAGGTCATAAAGGCAGAGAAACTGTAAAGGTGAGGCAGGTGGCTACTGGAACTCCAGGTCAGACACTCTGTTGGGTTTCAGAGGGCTGGATTCAGTCACCTGCCTACATCAGAAATAAGAGAAATAATATAAAAAGGAAAAAATGTATTTAATTACTGTCTGACTCGAACTGGGAAGGCAGCCAAATCTGCCTCCATTGATCCTTCAGAAACATTACAATGTAAATGAACAAAAGGCAGAAAATATACATAAATAGATTTATTCAGGCTTTGCTAGCCAGAGAGATGTTACAATTCAGCTTTCCCTGGTACCTGTCTGAGGGTGCTGGGGGAGCAGCTTCTCAGTGTCCATTTTCATCATGAGGAAGCTGGGGTGGAAAATGCAGGTTATTAGGAAATTAAAGGAAAAAAGTTGGGGAATTTTAATTCAAAGGAACACTGCTATGGCAGCTTCTGAGTCTGGGTCTTTAGTTCTGGTCATTGTATCTTTCTGGACTCTAACCTGCCACCTTACCCCACATCTCCAAAACATAACTGCAGTGCAAGGTCTGTTTCTAATACTGCCTTCTTCCATTGTCCACGGTCCAATATCTCTTCATTTGGAATTTTTGCTTCCTCCCCTGAATAGAATAAAATTTCATATGAATCTCTTCCATGTCTTCTTTCTATTTTGTATCTCAGGCTGTAATTTATTTATATTTTGTGATATGGGGATTGAACCCAGAGTCTTGGACATGCTAGACTAGCACTTACTGCTGAGCTACTCACAGCCCCTTCTGCATGATTTACTGATGAGCATGATATAGTTGAATTCAGTTTTATCTTTATAGCTTTTTCAAGCACTGAAGCTGATGCAGAGCCTGGCATACAGTAAGCCCTCCATAAATGCACATTCAATGAATTCATGATTGATAAAGAAGAAATGATTGACTCTGGAATGTTAAGTTTCATAAAATATTATGATACATTCATGATCTTGCTTTAGCAAGTAATGTACTGGACATAATTTA